AGTTGAAGGAATTGAAGACAGCTTCTTCCAGCATTGAGCAAGCCCGAGTCCATGTTGAGGGTAAACTTTTCCATCTCTGATGGTAACAATTTCTTCTTCATCATTCTTATCTTCACTTTTAACATCATTTTCACGATCAGTTGCCTCAGCAGAAGGAGAGACAGAATATGCCAGATCATTAGGAAAAAATGCCTCAGTAGTATCTCTTATTGTCAACTTACACACATTGTGTGGATCCATAACCTCAAGTTGACTAAGCTTACATGATATATAAATGGAATTTGCATTTGTGGGTCTTTCAGACAAGTCATCAAACACCTTGGGTGCATTTGTTTCGTTGTTGCCTTCAGATTGCTCGTCACAGGATTGCGACAAAGGTGAGTTGTTTATATCGTTCTATTGTAGAGAAACATATGCAATATCTGATGTGAGTATATTAAAGTCACCATATCCTGACGAGACATCCTCAAAACGACTTTGGTAGTCAATCACGGAGTTTACCTGATTATTGAGCAAGTGACATCTTTGTGATTCGAGATGTTGTTTATGAAATCGAATCATTACCTTCACTGTAAAGTGTTCCCAATCTGCCAATTGTTTGTTCCAAAAAAACCATCAATACCACTCCAATGCTTCCCTATCGAGATACAATGACGTGAGAGATAACTTATACTTTTCTATGATTTCATAGAATTCAAAGTAGTGTTCAGCCTGGAAAATCCATGCCTCTAGATTATCACCACAGAATCGTCCAAAGTTTATGGATGCATACTTATGACGAAACATCGGTGGTGCCAAAGACAAATCTCTATTCTCATACATCGGAACTTTGTTTTGGGGCCTAACAGTTGCAATTTTTCCAACCAACCCTTGTAATATTGAACGAATTTCAGACATCTCCTTTGACCACAAGTCCTTCCTGGGGTTAATCGAATCTTAAGGAGTTCGTAATTTTTGGTCCTCCATTGAATACCTCTGGATGAAAGCACCAATGAAACAAACCCGATTTCCAATGCAAACACTGATATATATTGTTATCACTGAATACAAGTTACAATGTATAATACGCTCAACAAAGTAATAACATGCTAACTAAGGAGAGATTAACATAGAAGAAGGTAACTAGAAGGAGATGAGATACTAGAACAGAGAAAAGGGGATGAGAGATAACTGAAAGTCAAAGCTTAGACATAATTTTCATAACCGTTCTTCTAAATCCTGGTCTTTTTTAACAAAATGTAAATGGGTCTGATCCCAAATAAAACTCCCTAATATCATGTAGGCCCTTAATGGGTCAATTTGGTTCACAACACTAACTCAGTAAAGAGAGAAGAAATTTCTAAATGGACTAAATGCTCTGACTAATTCCTGAGACATTTGACTAGTTCCGTTAGTTTTATCGTACCATATCATTATTATAAATTAAACTAGTTAGGTAAAGATATTCGATGCGGGTAAGCGGGGTAACGCAGAGACGCAAGACTATACTATTAATGAGTGACTTTTTTCGGTTATTGTTAATAGGGTAGACATTTATGAACTTAATGATTTTTATGATTTCTATAAGGTATTGACGTTTATCATGTTTAAAGTATTTTGAATTTTGATTGTTATCATTTAAAAAAATTTAAAATATATTTAAAAATATTGCTTAGGGAAAACTACAATATTTTGCAACTTTTTCGGATTGCAGTTTACTAAGGCGACACTTATGAACCATATGATGTGGCGTCTCTATTATGTCTAAAGTTTTTTGAATTTTAGCTAACGTTTTTTCAATATTTTGATTTATATTTAAAATATATATATAATTTAAATTTATTAGGTATAATAATCAATGAAATTACTTAATTAAAAATCATATTAATAACAATTCTTCAATTAAGGAAAAATGGTATATGACAAAACCTCAACTGTTGCAACAAAATATAATTGGGAAAGACATCAGAGAGCTGCATATGTTGATTGGTACTAATTAGACATTTTTCATGATGCTATAAATTTACCTATTTTCTATAAAAGTTTCCCATGGAAAAAATAATAATAAGGAAACATTATATTTGAAAGGGAAGGATAAAAATATCAAAATAAGAAATCAATTTATGTTATGAAATAGTCAAAGCTATCAGATTTGGGTCATTATGGTCAACATAATTTTTCCTAATACTATAATAGTAAACTTTTGCTACATAGATATATTGACTTGTCAAATACATTATATGTCTTCATTTGTGCTTGTACTTTGCTTTTTAATATACAATTATTTATTTAAAAATTTTATTTAATAAATTAATATTGTTTTAAAAAATAGTATACTACACATGATTTTGACATATATGCGCAACGCACGTAATTAAAGTGAAGGGATACTTAGAGGGAGGGGATATCTGATTTTCCACCTTAGTATTTTCAATTTTGGTGAAGTGGGACAAAAGTTGAACAAGAAAATTACACATTTATATATGTACCAAACAATCAGTAAGCCTATTTCAATTACTAGAAGTTGCACTTCAATGATCTATGCCCGAACACAAATAATAAAGAAACTAACAACAACCAATTCTTATTTCCTCTGTTTATTTTTATTTGTTCATAATTTCAAAAATATATTTTTATGTTTATTTGTAATATTTTAACATATCAGAAAAAAATAATTATTTTTTTCATGTTTTAATCTTATCATTATTTTGATAAGTTGAAATGTGACATGTAAAAATGAATCGAGGGAATAATTTACTAGCCAATTTTATTTTTGAAAGAAAAAAAATAGGAGTAGAGAATTTAGTATGGGCGTAAATGACGGGGCAGAACTCAAGTTTATGTTTTGCAATTTGCAGATTGCTAGTTAATTCCATGAACAAAAAAGTCAGAAAAGAAAATTCTAAATGGCCTAAATGCTCTGACAAATCACTCAGAGACTTGACTAGTTCCGTTAGTTTTTATTGACTATCGATCTTACTAATCACTATATTATAAAATAATTCTACTTCTCTCTGTCCCTAATTACTTGATATATTGAGTTTATCATTTTATATCTATTACTCCCTCTGTCCCAATTTATATGACTTACTTTCCTTTTTAGTCAGTCCAAAAAAGAATGACACATTTCTATATAAAGTAACAATCTAACTATAAAATATCTATTTTATCCTTAATGAAATGATTTACAGCCACACAAATTTTTATCATTCATTTTGGACCACAAGTTTTAAAAGTCTTTCTTTCTTTCTTAAACTCCGTGCCGAGTCAAAGTACTTCATCTAAAATGGGACGGAGGGAGTAATTATAAAGTGGATGAATTGAAAATTTAAGATTTTCAAGAAATTCTACATTTTTCAAAGTAATAAATTGAGAGTATAATAGAAATTTTTTTTGTCCTTTCTTGATTTGTCAAATTAGACAAGTAATTAACAACAACTAAAAAAGGAAAAGTGGACAAGTAATTAAAGACAGAGGGAGTAGCTAGTTAAACAAAGTGTTTAGGATTTAGGAAAACATCGAATTGTCACAACTCACAACTAATCAGAAGCAATTAGTTAAACGTCAAAATTGTAATTGTGACATTGAACCACTGAACAGGTAACAGAATACCCAAACTTTCACTGGACAATTCAACACATACACAGTCAAAAGTAGGAGTCCGGAGCAAAAAAAATCGTGTTTTCAAAGCAAATAAATCAAAATGAAGTAGTCATACTAAGTGAATTGTTGAATTTTTTACTAAGAGAGAGTTTGGATTAACTTAAAAGTTTATCAAATATTTTTTAAGTCAATTTTTGACTTCTGAAAGTGTTTAGCAAATATAAAAATAAGTTAAAATAAGTTAGGAAGTGTTTGACAAGATTAAAAATAAGTTAAAAACCAAAAATAGGTATCTCCTACTTTTTATTTCTTGACTTAAAAGTCATTTAAATTTGACTTTTTATTTTTGACTTAAAAGCTACTTTTTTTAAGGCAATCAAAAATGCAATAATAACGTTCTTCCAATTTTACCTTTATTTATATAAAAGGAGATTTTTACATAATCCAGAAATTACTATAGAGCTACAACTTGTTCAAGGTATTTATTAAGGCTAAATTAGTAAAAATATAACTTACTTTCTAGGAATGAATAAGTTTTCTTAAGGGTGTACATAAACTAAAAGTACCACTTATTTAGAAATGGAGGAAGTACTATTTGTGTATATACATTAATCCTAAAACTAATATTCCCTCTGTTACATTTTACTTACTCTTTACATCAAAATAGATATTTTTATTTTACTTGTTCATTCTAGTAAATCATGAGAGTTTTGTTACTTCTTTCTCATACAATCCTCATGAGTCTTTTGGTGTGAGGTATAAGATATAATAATTTCAGAATAAAATGTACAATTATTTTATCTTGTGTTTGATTGGAGATATTGTTTAGTCCTTGAATTATTTATCCCATCATCCAGATAATTAATTTCAAGATAACTTGTTTCCAACCAAATGATATTTAGTATTAAATAACTATATAAAATATTAGTAGTTAAATTTAGCATTCTAAATATTATTATAAAGTTAATTTAGTAAAATATACATCTAATTAAAATTTTCTTAAGAGTTATGTTAGATCAGAATGATCAAGTGATATGAAACGAAGGAAGGAAGGATTACTCTCCATCAACCTATTAAAAGTTAAACGTGTGTCATAAACCTTTGCACAATCAGTTGAAAGTTAAATCCTTTTTCACAAACATATCTTCTTCTTTTTCTATAGAAACCGAAAAGTGGACAAGTAGAGTGCAAGAAAATTCAATTTTCAACATCAAATAAGCCTAAATGTGTGGAATTTATATAACCAAGACGGCCACTGATGGCGGAGTCTTTTGACTACTAACTACTTTCTTCTCTAATAAATATAAAATGTTGACATCGTCAATTGATCAAACAGTAATTCATACACATACTAGTACTAGTTCCTCAAATTGCATGAAAATCTGCCTCTATAAATAGCTATTTAAGTAGTTCTAAGCAAAAACAAAAAAAAAAACATTAACTTGCAAGGCAATAGAGTTGATAAGCAAGTTAACAAGTTATCATAATGGCTTCATTACATAGCTTGAACACTTTAGCCATTGTTGCTTTCGCACTTGCTTTCTTGGTACAAGTCACTTTAGGTAAGTCATCTTTATTCTTAATGGATTTTAATTAATTTCATCGGTGTAATTTAATTTGTTATAGCATGTTATGAATACGTAACCATATGCAGGGGACATTGCGTGCGAGAATTTGAATGAAGACTCTTGTGCATTTGCAATATCGAGCACGGGTAAGCGTTGTGTTTTAGAGAAACATCTTCGTAGGAGTGGTGAAGAAGTATATATATGCCGAACATCAGAAATTGAGGCTGATAAACTCAAGGATTGGATTGAAACTGATGAATGCATTGGGGGGTGTGGCGTCGATAGAAATGCCCTTGGCATTTCTTCTGACGCTCTGCTTGAGTCTCGCTTTACTAGCAAGCTCTGTTCCTCTGCTTGCTACAACAACTGCCCTAACATTATTGATCTCTACTTCAATCTTGCTGCTGGTGAAGGTATTTACTTATCACGCATCTATAATTTAAATGAGTTGATTATATATAACGTGATGATTAATGGGTGCATCTTTGATTGGGTATAGGTGTATATCTGCCCAAGTTATGTGCAGAGCAAAAGGGAAAAGGGCGCCGTGAAATGGCTGAGATCAGAAGCTCGGGATTTGTTGCACCAGCACCGGAATCAGAAGTGAAGCCCCTCAATTTCATGATTGCTCCGGCAATGCCTCCCTTCTAAATTCGATAAAGCTTATTACAGTTAGCACTATAAGTATACAATGGCTTTTATTTACTAGTATTGAAGTAAAATAAAGACTCTGGGTTGACCCAGTTGATAGCGTATATTTGTATCGTTGTGTGGTTTGTTAAATTTCAGTAGTATTTCACAAGGCAGGTGGAGAAATGCTTCAGAGATCTACAAATGCATTCACCCTGCTCGGCCTATTTCAATCTTTTATTATAATGGAGTATTGATAATGTTTTATTAGCAATGGGGTACTTTATTGGTTTTTGTTTTTAGTTCCGTTTGTGCAAAACTTGATCTTGTTGCTTCAAAACCGCTACCGAGAGCGAATGAAGTGAGTAAGCACAGAACAAGCTAATAAGTAGAAATTGTAGCAACGAGCTACTTAGGAATGACTGTGTTGTGAAATTATGTCAAAATCTAAATGAACCTTTTGAAAAATAAACATCGTCCTTAATAAAAATGTTTGCTCAAGAATTACACCTCTGAATTGGGAAATCTTCGTTGCTTAGTTGGTTGGCTACTAAACTGGATTCGATTCTTCACCTTATAATCCTTTCCCATTACCCGTACCCACAATTTTTGAAGAAAAAAAAGAAAAAAACATCCGGATTCCAAATGTTGGCATTGTCGTTTTATCAAACAGGTAGAGTGCATTTTTAGCTCTTATACCCGTCCATCTCCCAAACAATTGAGACATCGCTGTATCCTGCAAAATCCTCAAAATCTCATTCGTAGAATAATTAAAAAAAAACTATGAAAAATTGAAATGGAAGTGAACTCACTTGTTCCCCTCGCAAGTAGGGCAAACACATGGATTTACAAACACAGGATCATACAGGGGTGACCATTTTATTGTACCATTTGCCTTGCAAAGCTTACATTTATAAAATCCTTTTCCTCTACAATACAAACAAAGCTTCCCAAACTTTTCCTGCCACACAAAATCAAAGAAGATGAAAATCTGAAAATGGGATTTTTGAAAAATAGATATATTACCCTGCAATTATTTACCTTATTGATTAAGGCTTTACGGCGAAGGACTGAAGTGGTGAGTGCAGAGATAGAGATAGCTCCACCAAGAAGAACAATGGAGCCTGTTGCTAACGTGCGCAGGAGTGGCGGAATCATTTGGTCCCTTCGTTTCACCGGTGATAATTTGATTTCACATGTAATCCCCTTTTTCCTACCTTACATAATAATAAAAAAATATTTATAACTTATACTGATGAACGCTTTCTATTTTACTTTAGAATAGTTTGAATCTCCTTATTTTGAATGGGCGGAAATAGATATTTAAACTTACGTAAAATTTAAAAAATATATATGTGTCTTATCGTGAAATACACTCGACCTGTTTTATATAATGTCACATAGGATATATATATCTAATTGTTCAACTTTATACAACTATTTACTTAGGTATACCAAAAATTTGAGAACATAAATATAGCTGAGACCAAGTTAAAAAGTACAATTATATATTTATTAATTTATATTCTTTCTTAATTTAATACTATCAAAAATTGTCCTACGGTAAAGATTTTACCTGTGCTCACCCGAAGTCATCCAAAATGGAACTCACTCTACTACTAAAATTCAAGATATTTCTTTTAAATACTAGACAAAGAGTCAGTCTCTTCCTAAAGTGAATTCAAATTAGTGAATATAATCAAGTAACATATATAATTCATACATACACATTGAGGGCATAGGACTCTTCTCAGTTGCTTTTTCCATGATTCTTCACTAATTCACTTGAGCAGAAAATACTGCAAATGGAGACAATGGCTCTAACATTGCAGCAAAACATTACCATTAGCATGAGCTTCAGATCGCCGCATCATCACTTTGCAAAATCCACACACCCAACTTTCTCTTTTACAAATGAAAACACAAAAAACCAGAAACTTCATATGGAAAACCCAAAAAGCCGCCGCATCAGTCTGCAAAAATCAGGCCAAACCCAGCTGCTTTCCAATCAGAAAATCCCACCCAAAACTAAACTCGAAGCTCTTGAAACTGTCATTAGGAATTTAGAAGTCACTGTGAAAAATGGCACTGATATTTACGACCCACAAATCTTTGCTTCCCTTTTAGAAACATGCTTTCAATTGCAGGCAATTGATCATGGTATCCGTGTTCATAACCTCATTCCCGAGAAGCTTTTACGTAAAAACGTGGGTATTTCATCGAAGCTGATTAGACTTTACGCGTGCAGTGGACAAACTCAGAAAGCCCATCAACTGTTTGATAAAATGCCTAAAAGAAATAACTCTGCATTTCCTTGGAATTCGATTATATCAGGATATGCTGAGAAGGGTTTGTTTGAAGATGCGTTAGCCATGTATTTTCAGATGGTGGAAGAGGGTGTGGAGCCTGATTGTTACACATTCCCACGTGCATTGAAGGCTTGTGGAGGTGTTGGGTTGATTCATGTAGGAGAGGAAGTTCATCGGCATGTGATTCGTCGTGGATTTGGAAGTAATGGGTTTATTCTAAATGCACTTGTTGATATGTATTCAAAATGTGGTGATATTGTTAAGGCTCAAAAGCTCTTTGATCAAATTGGGACAAAGGATTTGGTTTCTTGGAATTCAATGCTCATTGGATACATGAGGCATGAGCTCATAACTAAGGCGTTAAACCTGTTTCGTCTTATGATACGTGATGGAATAGAACCTGACTCTGTTTCTATATCAGCATTACTTGTGTCCAGAATACCTTTATCAATTGGGAAACAAATTCATGGATGGGTTCTTCGTCGAGGGACTAATCAAGAATTGTCCATTGTTAACTCATTGGTTGATTTCTATGCAGACCAAAAGAAGTTGAAGCAAGTGAGATGGTTGTTTGAAAATATGCATGAACGGGATGTAGTGTCATGGAATTCAGTCATTTCAGCTCACTCTAAGCATCCTGAAGCCCTATTGTACTTTGAGAAGATGGTAAAATCTTGTGACCTACCGGACAGTGTCACATTTGTGTCTTTGTTGTCGGCATGTGCTCATTTAGGGAAACTAGAGGATGCAGAGAGGCTGTTTAGAATTATGCAAGAGAGGTATGATATTAGTCCAAGGATGGAGCATTATGGTTGTATGGTAAATCTATATGGGAGGTTAGGATTGATAGACAAAGCTTTTAATTTTGTAATGAAAAAAATGGAATTTGAAGCTGGACCAACAGTTTGGGGTGCATTGTTATATGCGTGCTACAGACATGGCAATGTTAAAATAGGAGAAGTAGCTGCGCAACATCTGTTCGAGTTGGAGCCAGATAATGACCATAATTTTGAGCTTTTGATGAAGATTTATAAGAATGCTGGTCTAATAGAGGATGTACAGAGAACAAAGCAAATGATGATAGAACGAGGATTGGATTCTCCGTTACCATATGAAAGACGTTGAAGCTTCTTAAAACGACATTTTGTCAATGATTTTACGGATACACCATACTCCCTACTGTATGTATTTCTTTACATTTGCACCACATTCTTTGGTTTCCTTAATTATTTGTCTTCTTCAATGTGCTTATTTTCTAAAATTTAGTCAATGAAAAGTTAGCCAAAAATTTTACCATAATTCGACCCCAGTCATCCACAAGATTTAACAAGAGAATTAGATCTTGTTAAGGTATTTGATATGAGGATAGAACAGCAGAGCAGCTATGTAACTCTGAAGATAAAGGGAATATTTACAAGATTCATAAAATACTCTTCCCTGAAGATCAAATGCTATAAGTTTGTACACCTTATATATATTAATTTGCAGAATTCTAATTTTCCTCAGGTATTTTGGAATGACAAATTTGATAAGGAACTGTTAAAAAGACTTGAATCGAAATTTCTGTTTCAATGACTGTAAGTTGATTCAGGTGAGACCTGTTTAACCATAAGAACTCGTCTTCTTCGACCAATCCAAGTTGTCTTCCATGGAGCATCACCTGAAACTACTATATAACCTGCATTTGTATACAATTTTCGAGCACCAAAATCATCCTCATATGCCCTTAGGACTAGATATTCCAAACTCCAAAATCTTGCAAGAACATCACAGGCCTTAAGCAAAGCAGTTGCAACTTTCCGCCTCCTACAGTTAATCAACATTTTAATGTGTCATATCCAAATACCATTTGACAGTAAAAGGCAGACATAACTCATCTGTATATTATTTAACATAGGATCACCATCTATGTTTGCAAGTGATATATGACGAATAATGTTTTATGAAAGAACTTCATTTCCTGAATCATCTTGCTAGTGTTTGGTTGAAAAGGTCTGATAGTGGAATGGAATTTTCTGTTCAGTGACTATTATTATGAAGTAGCAGTAGAGAGATTATGTCATTAAAGGACTTGAATCTTGAATGATGTTAGTTATATTTCCCAGATCTGTTTAAGATGTTCCATTGATAATTCAAGACATTTTTAACAGCTGAAAATAATGAACATAAACAAATGATTGTATAGCAAAAAGTATTTTGCGCCATGTCAAAGAAAGCATCAATTCACTTTAATGGACAAGTATTAAATCTTGGACCTGAAGTTGTTCAATACAGCGATCCCAGAAATATAGATATATTCTGTTGCTCCCGGAAGAAACTGAAGAACATCAGTATCTCTATACACTGTAGCATCAACGACTCCTACAAGATCTTGTTCTACCTCAGGAGTGTCAGTTGAGGCCTCCGCAACTAAACATGCATACCTGTTTAGTCAAGAATTTCAGAAAGTTGAACTGAACTTGATGACTATTTTCATTTTTAGTACAAAAGAACAACATTGATCTAGTGGGAGTAGTGTAACTATAGGTTGGTAGTCTATTCAAAATTTCATAAAAACATTTAATTAGTTTGAGCTTGATTAGAAATTAAGGAAACCATCATAACTCAAATATAGTCCATTTGCAATAATCTAATTTGTTTAGACCTTCTTTCAGGATACTATATTGTACATATAAGACTAGAGTTCATCAAGACAAATTCAGAATCACCATAGCAGAGAATGAAGTTATGTTATTATTTTCACCTACAAATATTAAACAATGCACTTAGATTTTCTTTTTTGGGACTGAAGCATAGTTTAATACACCTAGATTTTCTTAACAGCAAGGTTCGACCTCGTTCCTAAGTTTCGATTTTTACCTGTCTGGTGGAGAATTCTTCAGTCTGTAAAGTAGTCCCGAAAGTACTTCAGCCTACATAATCATAATTCTCACTTTATTATGTTGATAAAAATAACACTAATACATGAATAATAACAGATAGAACAGTGCTGGTGGGATTATAGAATAACAGATAGAAAATACAGCCAAATTCATTTCCTAAATAACAGAGATATGAAACTGAAAACAAATATATGATCTTCATTCTTCTTCTCATTTTCAAATTGCATGCCCCCATCTGTTTTCTAGAAAGATCATCATCAACAACAACAAATCCAGTATAGTTCCAAATGTGGGTATGAGAAGGGTAGAGTGTACGTAAATCTTACTACTAGAAAGACTGTTTCCAAAAGACTCTCCGATCATAGCAGCTAACACAAGAGGGGCAACAACCATAACAAACTAATGTGAACAAAGGTCCTAAGATAAGCCAGCTACGAGACAAATGCTACTACCAGTGGTACAAAATAAGAATCGAGAAACAGATACGATGCATCAATCTATCCTGCTGGGAAGTGAGACAATGCTCAACTACCTACTATCCTAATCTGCAACCTCCATATATACAAAATAATGCAGAAAACAGTACAAACAGAGTTCAAACACACAGAAAAATCAAGAATGGGATATTTGGAAGAACAAATTCTTGAAAAAACAAAAACAGCTAGAAAAATGAAGAACCTGAAAGAATTGAAAGAATAAATCATTGAAGATAAGAAGAGGTTCATAAAAGGATTCAGCTTGAACAGCAGCAACATTCCTCATTTCTTTTTCAGTCTCAATCATCCTTCTCACTTTCCATCCATTTTCATTCACAAAACATCCCACTTCATTTTCTCCTCTTTGTTTTCCCTCCGAATTGATTAACCCCACTTCTAATTCCCTCGTTGTTGTTGATGAAACTGGAAATGAATTGCTGCAACATTGTGGCATCTGCAATCTTTTTTTCCAATTACGAATTCCTTTGCCTTTGTCTCTGTTAATTGAAATACATTGTAGGCCTCTGCATTTCCAAGAAACATCTTTCTTCAATCTTGTTTGAAAATGCGGTTGCCATTGACATTGTGCCATTTTTTTTCACCTTCCGCTCACTGATTTCTCATCACTGTCAAAAGAGAAAAAGAAGAAAAAAATTTCTTTCTTTTTTGTAAATTGTGATTTTTTGTGGTTGATTGATACTCTTCTTATTCTCTTTTGTCTTGTTTCACTTACTTCAAAATTTTATTTTATTTTTGAGTCAGACATGTTACATAATGAGCATTATAATATGATAATTGATAGCAATAACAATAATAATATACTTAGTCTAATATTAGAAATTTGGAGAATTTAGTGTGTACAACAGATTTTATGTAGAGAAATTGTGTTTGATATACCGTTGGTTATATTTTTATTGATAGATGTTAGATAAATTGGATTAAAAATGAAATGATTATAGTATTAATTAACCAGATAAATATAAATAAATTTCTAGTTTTAATCTTGAAGAAAAAAAATTGTTAAATTCTTCCAGTCTCCGTTAAGTACCACCCAACTCCTATCTTTAAACGTTTTGGCTTTTACTATGAAAAATAAAAAAGGATGAGAATTAAATGACAATTTTTAATTTTATTTTTTTACACCTAAAAGTTCCACTTTTATAAATCTGAAAAATGATTTTATTCTAATCAATTTATTTTATACTGAACCATAAAAGATAATTTCCAGGTAAGTTTTGTGGCTATAGATCCACTAGTGGAATCTGTTCATAACGACAAAATACAAGAACATTTTTGAATGGTTCTAAACTCATGACGTTTGTACCTTAAATTCATGTCCACTTGGATAATATTTAGACTAACACGTGTCCACTCTTTGGTGCTGGATATTGTGTTCTATCAAGGATCCATTGGGCCATAGATTTTGGTAGCACTTTGAGGCATTTTGGCATTTGCTTATAAAATTTAGGGAAAAGAGTAAAAATATCCCTCTAACTTTGTTTTATTGATTTACTATGTGAAAGGAAAAAAAGAGAAGAAGAATAGGATGAAGGATTTTCCCTGTGTATTCTCTGTACAAAAATGTGTTTAAATAATACAATGAAAATCTACTTCTAACAAACTTCTACAAATGTCCTATGATAATTGGCTAATCTATAATAAACATGTAATTACAATTTTCATAAAAACAAAATAAGGAAAACTAATATTTACAAATTAATATTATGGAACCTTCTGGATGGAAGAGCAAATGATGATCACATGTCTCATTTAAATCAAAATTTCTTTCCAATTTTACACTTCACCTTATCTTTTATGGTGACTGAATCTTTCGGTGGGTCGTGTTCTTGTGATATTCCAACATCCCCCCTCAAATTGGAGGGGGAGGAACGAACACCCAATTTGTCCAAGGGAAGACGATGAGAGGAACCAGGTAAAGGTTTCGTAAAAAGGTCGGCAATTTGTGAAGAGGAAGGAGGAAAAGAGAGGGAAATGAGTCATGTGAGATACTGTTGCCGGACAAAATGGCAATCCAAATCAACATGCTTGGTCCATTCATGAAAGATTGGATATTTAGCAATGTGAATTGCAGCCTGACTGTTGGAATGAAGGGAAATGGGTAGAGTAGGAGGAAGAGAGAGATCAGAGAGGAGTCGGACAAGCCAACAACACGCCGCATGGATCTGTACTCAACCTCTGCAGAGGAAAGTGAAATAGAAGTTTGTTACTTCAATTTCCAAAAAATAGGACTACCCCCAAGATTGATGTAGAAACCACTCACTGACCGGCGAGAGTCGGGGCATGTAGCCTAATCGGAGTCGCAAAAAGCCAGCAAAGTGAAAAATGGGGAAGAATTGAGAAAAAATCCTAAGCCTGGATCGGAAAGGAGATAACGCAGAACATGGTGGGCAGCTGAAAGATGTGCCAGGTGAGGTTGTTGTATATATTGGCTAAGGCGTTGGACAGAAAAAGAAATATCAAGTCTAGTGTAAGTAAAAAAATTCAGTTGTCCAATCAAACGGCGATAAACAGTGGCATCTGGAAGAGGAGAACCCATATTGACCTGTAGCTTGTGAGTGGGATCTAAGGGTGAAAGAGCAGGTTTGAGGCTGTCACGACCCAATTTCTCAGGTCATGATGGCACCTACTATATGACCCACCAGTAGGCAAGCCGACCCATATCCCGGAACTCGAAGTAATGGGATGTTAGGGTAAAAAACCAACCAATCAACCTAAAATAGTAATAAATATAACAAGAACATGCAATGAACGGGCGGAAGCGACTAGACATATATACACAAAATGAATTCCTCCCGAAACCT